CTACACTATGACTTTTTTTCATGATTTTGGACGACATGCTATACTATGACTTTTTTCATGATTTTGGACGACATACTATACTATGACTTTTTTTCATGATTTTGGACGACATGCTACACTATGACTTTTTTTCATGATTTTGGACAACATGCTACACTATGACTTTTTTTCATGATTTTGGACGACATGCTATACTATGATTTCTTAGTGACCCTTTTTGTGACATTTTAACCTATGACTTGTTTCTGCCTATACACCTATAAAGTGGAATCACAGAAGGTATTACTTACGATGCAGTGAGTGTGGAGTTGAGGACAAGAGTGGTGCGTATCCTATAGAGCTGAGCCAGTGTCAGCTTCTTGTGCTGTGCCGGTGATTTCCTCTTCTTCGGTGACATTTCCCCTGAATCACCTGTGGCTGTTGAATCGTTTTTCCTTTCTACGCAGGCAGATGGAGCCACTTCCCCGTCTGACCTGTTGCTTTGGGGCTCATTACCCTCACGTGGTCTAGCAAGCGCCATTTGGCTGTGCCTGGCCTCCGCCCTCTTCAGGGTGGCACAAAGTTTGTCAGAGGGCGTGCTCATACTCAAGCAGTCGTCAGACTGGTCGAGGTCACTGGAAAACAGCTCCACGCAGTTTTGGCCTAGCTCCGTCAGACTTCTACTGTGTGCCAGCTGCGACGTGTCCATGTCTCTACACTGTGATTGGTCCTGCGCCTCAGAGCTGAGTGAGTGTGTGTTGGGGGTTTTACCATGGAGGCGCTGCAGCAGATTGTCCTCAGAGCGGGATAAGGTCAGATTGGACAGCCTCTGGAGGCAGTGGAGACGCGACTGAACATGAGGCCGCCGTCGAGGTTTAGAGGACTGGACTACTGACAGCTGGGACCCCACTGAAGCAGCATCCTCCTCCTCTTCCTCTTCTTCCTCCTGCTCTTCTTCTACCTCCTCTATTTCTGTCCCTTCCTGCTCCGCCTCCTCGACCTCCCTGTCTCCCTCTTCCTCCTCCGTCTCCTCTCCTTCACTCTGGCCAGGCTGTTGCCGAAGTTCTCTCAGTAGGGATTCAGGGGAGAGGGTACCGTAGGCGCTGTCCATGGAGAGAGAGCGACACTGGGGGTCCAGTTCCTCGCCGTCAGGCCCCGTCCCCTGTTCTTGCTCGGAGTAAACACTGGAGTGAATCCTGTGGGGGCTCGTGGACTGAGACTGCTCGACCTCAAATGTCTCAGACAGAGGAGTCAGATCAGAGTCTTTTTTACTGGTTCCCTCGAGGTTCATGTTGGGGGAAGGAGGCTCGCTTGCTTCATCAATTTCCATCACCGACAGGGTCTCAGTGGATCCATCGGATTGACTGAAAGGAGATGTTTGGTTGGTTAATTGGATCGTTAGGCTTAATACTTCTACAACTACCGTCACTTTATACTTCTATACAATACTTCTACTACAAAAAGTTTTACTACAACTACTAAAAATATTTACATTACAAGAACTACAAATAATTCAATACAAAAAACTTTAACTACTATTTCTACTAAAACTACTACTGTGTAATTTTATGTTAAACTATTGAATCTATCTCTTTATTTGTTTGAATCTTTATATGTTTAAATAATGAAACTACATCTACAGTACCAGGCAGCAGTATTTTATCACAGTTGAGTTATTCTCTGTGTTACCTTGAGTTCTGCTGCTCTTTGTGCCTCAGGCATGGAGAACTTGTGGTGGAGTTGCTACTCTCATCTTCCTCCTCCTCTTCCTCGTCACCCTCCGTGCATGTCTTCAGACTGTTCTGCTGTCGGAGGACCTCCTCGGTGCGAAGCCTCTGGAGCTGGTTCTGCAGGGTAATTAAACACAGCCACGTTAAGTTTATAAACTACATTATTCTGTCTCCCAGCTCCAGGTGTTAAACATTTAGTAAGACATGAACCGGCTCTCCAACCTGGACGTTGCAGATTGCATCGATCCAGCTTCGCCCCTGGGCGGCGCTGTTGGCTTGGAAAGTGTAGGCTGCCACTGCACTCTTGAACTCGTTGAGGTAGATGAGGATGAATGAGCCTGCAGAGACAAGAAGGCACAAAAAAATCTTGACTGTTTGTTGGTTATAAATTCCTAAATCCAGCAGACAAAATTAAACACATCGCATTTGCCCATATTTTTTATATTAAAAGTGTGTCTTGAGTATGAAAATGATCATTATTTGCCTCACAGTGTTCATCTGAGCACTCACCAGGGTCTTTGAGCTCCTTACAGACGACGTTGTGAATGAGGAGCGGCTGCCGGATGATTTTGACTTTCTCCACTCTCTTCACTGGCTTTGTAATTAGCAGCAGGTCGGTGAACAGGACACAGTAGACATCCATCTACAGAGGAGATAAACTCGTCTCAGCTCAGACAGAAACACGTCTCTATTCTATAGGTCAACCATTTTATGTGAAACGTGATGTGGCTGCGAGGCCAACGTGAGAAGCCAGATGTTGAGTTTAAAGATAAGAGGAGCTCATCGTGTGTTTACAAGCCGTCATGTGAGTCACTCTTACCCTACTGTCTTTGCCCTCTTTCATCCTCAGCGCTCCCTCCAGATGCAGCTGTCGAGTCTCCTCTGGTGATATTCCTCTCATGGGAGCCATGAGGTCGAAGCGGTTGTACTCCTTGAGAATCTGGTGGCGTAAAGACAAAAGCATGAGGCTGAATCTTCAAACAAGTCTCATATCTGACGGCTTTTCTTTAAAGAAGATGTGGGAAAGCTCTGCCAACAATCACTCCTTACCTTCTCCACCTCTTCACTGCTGCCCTCTACAGCTTCGTACGAGTCTATACGGGCGGAGATGGTGGCCAGCTTCTGTTGTTCCTGACGCTGTCGCATCTGGGACTCCACGCTGTTGATGAAGCCCTCGACTGCGGCGACCTTTAGGAGGAAAACACAGAAATACAGTCAGTGTTAATTAGAAAAGCAGCATGTGATATATCTACCTTAGCTTCTCTTGAAATTCCTCTTTTCAATTCCTGTTTTGTAAAAGCTGAAAATACTGAATATATAAAGAGAAAAGCTGTAAAAGGAAAAGCAGCAAATGTTTTGTATGCAAACATCTGAATTTGTTCAGTAACTGAAGCTGTCAAATAAATATAATGGCATACAAAGTACAATATTTTCTTATGAAATGCAGCGAAGAGGAACAAAATGGAAATACTCAAGTACAAATTTGAGGCACTTGATTAAATGTCTGCAGTTACATTCCATGACTGTCCTCACCATGCTGTTGACAATGTCCCGGGCTGACGGCTCGTCCGTCTTCTTGAGAACACTCTTCAGTAGGAGTGGATATTTGGTCAGTCTCTGGTGCGGCTTTGCCAACATGTCGGCCAGCTTCAGACGGTTACACTGCTTGTGTGTTTCTCCCCACTGAACAGAGGCAGACAAAAACAGGAAATCAAACATTTAACGAGCCAGGAATACGAAGACCGCTGACAGGGAGCGTACTGTAGGTGTCTGGGATCAGCTTTAAGGCGAGACTGACCGTGACGTAGGTCCTGAAGAGCTCATTGTCCCTGAGAAGCGTGCGCATGTTCTCCATGCAGCCCTCCTCCTCCATGCAGTAACGGATGTAGGGCTGGAACCTGGAGCCAAACTGAACACACACGCATAAACAGAGACATGCGTCAGAGATATTACTCATCAGGGAAAACATATTTACTCCTGCCGCAGTCTCAAGTCAACACTGCAGATGGTTGAATGATATAAACAGAGTGTGAAAGAAATATGAAAATCACTTCTGTGACCTTCAGTCAGATGGTTAATAAAGACAGACGTGGTCGAACTCAAACAAATCAACCCTTTCTGTGTGGTATCCATGGAAATACTGGAATATATTCACAGTGGGGTACTACTGACCGTCCTGAAGCCGTGGTGGAGGTCAGTGGGGTCGAGCAGAGCCCGGGCCTGCCTGGCCTTCTCCAGGACAGGCAGCATGACCTGGTTCCACAGTGACGTGTGGAGGCGGACGATCTCCTGGATGTTACTGAACAGCTTGGCGGGCTCCACCTCCGTCAGCAGGCCGCTCTCCTGCAGGTTCAGCAGCCCGCACAGGAACAGCTGCACAGGGCGACACATGAGAACATGAGTTAATATTTCTAAGACACTACGCTGACATAAGGTTATCACTTAACACAGCACAGGTTACAACTCTTTCTGTGGCTCACGGATTAGTGATAAAGGCCGCTGTGTATTTTTAGACTTTAACAATAGCTTCACTGTGTGTTTATCTGTCACAGTACAGAAGTCACTTCATCTTACACAACAGCCACGGTTGTATCAGCACATGATCTTTACAGTAGTTCTCTTTGCACTTACATCAGTGATGACTCTGAGTTTCTTTATGTAAGTCGCCTCCGTCTGCAGCAGCTCCCATATCGCCTCCTGCTGGTGGAACTGCCGCCTTGTCAGTGTCTGCAAACACAAATCATATTGTTAAATATAACAATTATATTCCAACGTTCAATTATTATGTCACAACATTTATTTTCTGTAGCTGGTAATCACACTCACATTCACACCTACGGACAATTTAGAGTCACCAATTAACCTGCATGTCTTTGGACTGTGGGAGGAAGCTGGAGCACCTGGAGGAAACCCACGCTGACACAGGGAGAACATGCAAACTCCACACAGGGTGTCTCTCTCAGTCCTTGGCTGCCCTTGTTTGAGTTATATTTGTTTGATATTGCGTATATGCAAGTAAGGCTGGGTGTATATATCTATTTAATTTCCATTGTTTATATGTTTGCTGTTCATATCTGTATAAGTCAATATTGTTGATTAGTGTCTGTGTTTCCTGCTCAGAGGGGTGTATCATGTAAATAAAACCATCCACTCATTGTTCTGTGTTCTCAAACACCAGGATAATTGTCCTGATATTTTCCAGTCACATCACCAACTGATTTACTGGACAACACACAGCCGTGAAGTCGGTAAATTGTCTTACGTAACAAATGAACATGCAGTATGAGGAGCAGCTGAGCTGTGATACTGCTGCTCTGATGAGTCATGTACACGTTAACAGGTGGAGGCCAGAGACAGTGAGTGATGGGTGTTATCTTTTATATACTGAAGGCATGTGCGGTTCCTGACAGCAGCGTAATCGCTGTGTTAGCATCCTTCTGGGAAAACGGGCACCGGGGCAGGTGTGACAAAGACGAATGATAGGGAAGTGAAAGTCAGACACGTTCCAGGAAGCTTTATGCCGGTATGTATGTACTGTAGGTAATTAGATACCAGAGAGTGTTTGTCAATCACTTATAAGGGACTGTATGAAAATTATTAGTGAGGGAGAGGAGCCAGGGAAGGGAAGGGTGAGGGGGAGTGGAGAGGATCCTATAATTTAGTTCTCACCACAGATTTCTATTTTTAATTTTCTTTTGCACAAAAA